CCTATGCAAGAACATGCTGACTTATACAAGCCTTAGCTTTAGTATAGGTCAGCACATGGAATTTTCATGCCAGCTCCTATGGAGAAGTATTGAAGACTATATGTTCTACCCACAGGTTGCATCACGGACTGCTAGATAGTCTGGTCTATAAACTTCACAGGTCGGCCTATTACCTTCACAGGCCGACCTATTGCCTTCATAGGCTGACCTCTATGTTTTTCCCATCTAAAAATTTTAGTTTTGCTCCAACTTTTTGCATTCCTTTTGCCCATTAATTCACATACCTATATATACTCATACATGCATCTTCTTCTAGGTAAGGTTTCCTAGTGAATAAAACCTTAACGAAACCAGATTACAAAGTTGCCTATCATCTTCATCCCTTCTTCTATGCATACACACAATTAAACTACACATAATCATTTTTTTGTTTGGGTGACCATCTAGATTAGGGTTGATAACGGCCAATTAGGTTTGGTGTAACCGAGAATATTGGATTAAGGGATTTGTGTGTTTCAAATAAGAAACCAAGGTTGGGTTTTCATTCAATATCGGGTTAATTGAAGGTTTTGGACGAGACCACACCAACATAGATTTGACCGAGTGAAAGCCTTGGGACAAGGTGGTTTCCTTACAAGGGAGTAGCGCGAGACAGTGAATTGTGTTCGGGAATCTCGGGTTTCAATAAGTTACATGCTCGGGATAATCGGAGGATTGTAGTTGTATTGTTGGTCACTTGATCAAGCTTTGATCAAGGGCTGGAGGTGGAAGAATAAACACAAAACACTAGGGTTTGGGGGGTTTGTATTCTTCATCTCTTGTATAAACATTTTTGCAAAGAAAAGGTTACTAGCACTATCTCAATTCGATTTTGAATTAAGGGTAGAGATACTCATAGCGAGGCCGATTGGAGAACTGCCTAAACAAATATTGGTCTTTCTCCCTCTCCCTCTCTTCATCTCTTGGTTTCTTATATTGTTGATTACACAATTTATCAATTTCGTGATTGTTTGATCAATTCGATTGGAAATTGTTTTCTACTATCTTTTAAAGGTGTTGTTGTTAGTCTAATCACAATCACTTTGATTGTGATAGGTTTTAACATCAATAAAATAAACTACAGTTCCAATTGTTATTGATCACACATCAAGTGTTCGATAAATTGTTTATGTGTATTTTATTTGCATTTTGGTTCATTGGATATATGAGTTACGATTAGCATTGCATTTAATTAATTCGTAGCTTGATCATTGTTGAACATTTACGTTCGTTATCACTCCGTTTGGTTTGTGATACGTATATTGTTTTTTGATAATAAGTTCAGTTAGACGTTTCGATCCGGGTCATTTTTCTAGTGCACCTTATTTTGAAAACAGATTTTTGCCAAAATTTTTTGGTTGTAAAGTCTGTGATATATTCACCCCCCTCTAGATTGAAGCATATTGTCTAACAATCCTAATTCCATAAAGTTGTTCAACATGTTTCCTATTGCGCTTATACTTGATTCAACCTACAAAACCAACAAGTATAGACTTTCATTATTTGAGATGGTTGGTGTTACCTCAACCGAGAAGACATATTTTGTTGGTTTTGTGTTTCTTGCGTGTGAAAAAAAGGACAAGTTTACTTGTGCATTAGAGATGTGTCTGTCACTTTTGAAGGTCCAAGGTGAGATGCCTAAAGCAATTGTTACCGATCACGATACCGTATTGATGAATTCGGTTGAAAAGGTATTTCCTTCGTCTTATGCATTACTTTGTAAGTATCATATAACAAAGAATGTGAGACGTCGGGTTAAACCTGCGGTAGGGACGAAACAAATAGAGTCTGAAGGTGGAAAATTAGTGAAGGCGAGTATGATTGTGGAAAAAATATGTTGAATGACAACTCGACTACACGGTCTTCTTCATATTTTGAACATGTTGACAAAGTTTTTCCCGACTCCAAAGTCTCAAAAAAGTGATGTGAAAGGAGCCTGCATTAGCAAACCACCTCTGACGTCGCTTCTACCGAAGATTTCATTCATCGACGAGATTTCAGTTTTTATGCACAAATATATTGAGTGGATCATCAATGTTGTAGGGGACGGTAATTGCGTTTACCGAACTGTTTAGGCTTTACTCGGTAAAGGAGAAGATAGTCATACACTTCTATGACTTCAACTAATCCAAGAGTTGAAGACGCATAAAGAATCGTACACACAATTGTATGGAAAGAAACAAAATTTTGTTGCGGTTTATGAGTCTATTATTCTTTGCTTGAGCGGCTCGAAACCGAAGGCAAAATGGATGCGCTTCCTTGATATGGGTCACCTAATATCATGTGCATAAGATAAAGTGTGTGTTGACCTGACACACTACGGTTTTTCAAAAACATTTTTCCTACTACGCACCGCCCTACCCCAAAATCTAAATGATTGAATCATGTGTATTTGATGACTTTCAAAATCAAGTCATTTTGTTCAAGTTTACTTGAAACCGGGATGCCATATACCACTTAAATCACCGGAGTGGATGACTTATTCAACCACAAAAGCCGAGATGTGGCTGAATCATTTTATGGAAAAGATGCAAGAAATCGAGAGATTGAACAACATTGAAAAAGAATCGAATGCACAAAAATCCAAGAAGGTACCACCTATAGATTTAGTCGGCGAGATATGTTTCGATTCATTTTGATTTCTTGTTTAATCGGACAAATAATTATATGTAATTGTGTCTCAATATAAATGAAGTGTTATATATTCACCTTTTGTTCATATTTTGTCTTTATGCATTTTTTCATCTTCCCCATATCAACATGTGTTATCTTGACAATGGAAAAATAAGGTTCTGTTTTGAAACTCGTTTAGGACAAATTCCAGAGATGTATCTCTGGAACAAGATGATAGGGTGTGGTTCCGGAGATATACCTCTGAAATCAACATTACAGTTAATTAGTGATCCAAATTGATCTATGGCTTCTATAAATTTAGGTACTATAATGCTATATTTCATACAAACTCAAACTATCTCAAATGTCACAAATAAACATCTATTGGTATGTCGCAAATGTGTCCTTTTTCGGCTCTACACCTGGCCGAATGTTCAAGCTCACCGACTTCCCCCCCTCGAAGAAATCAAAGACGAAATCCATCATCTCTTGTCTTACCGAGAGAATCGAAAGATTGTGAAGCTCGAATATAGTTCACCTTCGATTGACAAGGAGGGAAGAGTCATTTCACCAAATTTGAGCTCAAGACGCAAGCGAATCTTAGGGCTATGTGGGATACGTTTTTCACTTTCAAAGTGAAAGTTCCACTTGAGTTGGAAGCGACGCTACAAAGATTGGTCGAAGATATTCTAAAGATGTGCAAGCATCCACCGGAATATGTAACATTGAATTTTCTATTGAAATCACCATTGTAATGATCATTTTATGTTATGAATGTCAATTTCATTTTCGAAAGTTACTTTTCTGTTGAATTTGTTTCTGGTGTGAATTCGAAGATGTAACTAAAGAATTATTCTGGAGATGCATCTCTGGAATAAATTAAACCAAAAGAAATGACGTAGCTCAATTCTTGCCTTTGTTGAGTGTGTGTTGGAGTGCATCCGAAAATGTATCTTCGGAATCAGGAGACATATGTGAAAATTCACATGGTGCATTAAAAACATTTAGGGTGTAATAAGAAATTCTCAACTTCAAACTTGTTATTTGAACCAAATACCAATATGTTTGAATGAATTAGTTTGTGTTGGACTCATACATAATTGAGTTGGATAAAAAGAAACATTGAGGGTTGAGTTGGATTGAATGAATAGATTTGCGAGTTATCCCGTACCCATAAATACTTCTAACAATGTTTATAAAAGAAAGAAGAGAACACTAAACAACATGAATCACTCATTATTAACATAACCAATAATTTAAATATCACGCGGTGAATATAATAAAGCCAAAATAAACAATAATGGCTAGTGGAAAAATTCTAACCAAAAGCAAATAAAAGAAAAATCCATAACTATCGAGTTTTATCTTCCACATTAGTATTAATATGATTTTTTTCTATTGGACAAATACAACAATACCTCTTATTATGTTGTTTCCTTTTTAAGTGTTATTTTTTTAATTTTTTTACATATACTAATAAAACTAATCATTATTATTACTTTTTAAATAATAATTCTCTTTTTATCTATAATATCTTTAATTATTTATTATATTTATTTTATTTTTTTCTTTCTATAATAAATATCTGATAATTTTAACAAAAATACAATTAATACTATTTTAAATTTTATAAGTGATATTTAAAAAAATATACTAAAATGTCACTTAAAAAAGAAGTGAGGAAGTATTTAAATTTGAGCATGTAAATTTAAATTAAATTGAATTTAGAATGTTACTAATTTATTAGTTCTTTTTTTCTTTTTCAAATAGTCTATTGAGACAAGGATATAATTGGTCAGTTTTAATTTAGTCAGTAATGAGTTAAAGAATGTGTTTAGAATTGCGACAAGGATGGACCCATTTGACCTAAACTTCCTCTGGTTTAAATCTAAATTAGGGTTTTAAACACTCCTAAAGCTTCTCAATTTATCTTCTTTACGATTAAAAACACAAACACCACTTGTTCACATACCTCCTTCCATTCGCAATGCTGGTAACTACACTTTAATTTTACTGTTTCTCTATTCTTACATTCCACACACATTACTCTCATCATCATGAAACCCTAAGGGGGTGATACACCCGATTTAGGGTTTGTTTAGATAATTCTTGCTTTTTATTTACTGTTTAGTACATTATTCATCCAATGTTTTTTTTCCACATTTGTAGAAATTGTTACCCTTTTGTTCCTCAGTACATAGGTAGTGTATGAGTACTGTCAATGAGTGCGTTAGTTTAATAGATTCATATATATTCCTTAAGATATCAATTTGGGGTTTTTTTATTAATGTTTACAGTGAGCTTTGCTTTCCACTCTCAAAAGAGGATATTGTTCTCGGTAAGTGAAAATGAAGGGTGGTTTAGTCAAGTTGAACCCGGTTGATTCTCGTATGGGTGAGAATTTGCAAAGTTCTAATCTTGATGATAAAAGAATAAGGTTAGAAAGGCGATGGAGGAGACGGGAGATCATGGTTGATAGTTTGAAGCACAGTCGTGTTGCTAGTGCTACAAAGACAGCTTTGAAGATTCGGGGAAATACCGATGTTTTAATAGATAAAAATGAGCCTACGATACATGATGAAGCAGATGAAGAATGGGAAACATTTTTGGCTACATATACTAGTGATGATGGTGATGAAATGGATGAGGATTACAGTTCCTTTTTAACTACGTATAATTCTGATATTGAAGCTGATTGTGGTAGTAATCATTGCGGTGGTTCAAACATTGGCAGTGATGAAACAGATGCAGAATACAGATTCTTTTTAGCTGCGTATCATCCTGATGTTGAAAATGACAGTGCAGGTAATCTAAGTGGTGGTTCAAACATTGGCAGTGATGAAACGGATGCAGAATACAGATCCTTTTTAGCTACATATGATCCTGATGTTGAAAATGACAGTGCAGGTAATCAAAGTGGTGGTTCAAACATTGGCAGTGATGAAGTAGATGCAGATTACATATCCTTTTTAGCTACATATGATCCTGATGTTGAAAATGGCAATGCTGGTAATCAAAGTGGGGGTTCAAATGTTGATGTCAACATTGGCAACAACAATGTCAGTGAGGAAATAGAAGAAGGTTACAATGGTTTTTCAAATCAATTTGCTTCTGATTGTATTAACGATGGGGTTGATGTTGATGAAGATGATTGTTTACTAAGAAAAAGTTTTAGTGTTGGGCAAAATTCACCAGTTTCTGATCAAGAATTTGATACTCCTGAAGTGCAATGTGTTGTTGATGAAGATTATGAACAATTCCTTAATTCTGGGTGGGTTGTTGATGGCGATTTTGTGTATGGCTGTGATAAGAATACCAATAACCCATCCAATGTGGATGATGGGAGTAATTCCTCTGATTCAGATCTAATTGTTTTGGAATCTTATCCTAACTGTGAAAACACTCCTTTTGTATCTTCAAAGGCATATGATTCATCTGTAAGTGTCTTCAACTTCACGCAATGTACATGCAATGGTCATATTTTACAAATGGTCCAAAAACATACACATTATTCAAAAACTAACTTTATTTTAAGAAATAATTCCAAACAGTTAATTTAAACTATTTTCATAACACGTCTTTATGATATGTTTGTTTAGTGTTTTGGAGAAGAAATGCACCCCAAAGACAACATGCAAACGACTTCTTTTCATCGTTCTCAATTTCAAAAAAGACTTATGGAATATGTTGATAGGCCTTATGACTATGAAGAGTATAAATCTCTTATTCTTGAAGCATATGAACGAAAGGAAAAGGAACGCCATTTAGAAACACGGCGGGGGGTGATTAAGTCATATCATGCTGTAGGTTTCACCAAATCGTATCTTGATTTGTTCCCTGGTAGGTCCATATTTTCTCAAGTATTATGATTTCTCATATTTTCCTCTTTCATATATAAAAATGGAAGCATAAAGTTTAGTCCTAAACAATGGTTCTGAGTACTTCAGAGACTCATGAATAAATGTAATTTGTTCATGAACTTATTATTAGTTAATTTATTATTATTGAACCCAACATATGACAGTAGAAAAATCTTTGATTTTTCTGTAGTCCAGATAGTGTTCATCGAATCATGGTACCTTTTAAGGATGAGCTCCTTCTGTGACTGAGTACTGATTTTTAATCATCAGCATATTTGGGTTAGATTTTGCTGAAAGAACATAAAATCGATTGATGGATTCCATTTTATGGTTTGTGCAAGTTTTTTGGGTAGCTTTTACTTTTGGAGTTTCAACTTCTATTCTTGTTAAGGCTCGACTCTTTCTATGATCAATCTGATTTCAGGCCTCTCTCAAATATTTGTTTCATAATTGTGCAGATTTAGCCAAAGCTATTGCCCTGGAGTCCAAGGAAAAGCCTAGGGTTTTGTTTCTCTTGCGTGGATTGTTTTTTTGGTTAGAAGTAAGTCAATAGATTCTTGTTAACATTATATCCTGTACTAGATCCTGAATGTGTATGAACTATGAAGAATATTTTGCTTGTTGAAGCAATGATCTGACAGGAAAGGTGCCTTGAGGCCATTTCGACATAGACCTTCTAACTGTGTCTCTTTTACTAATTAGAAGTTATCTGTGTAGTAATTTTGATTATGATTATTTTCGTGTCGTAGCATAAACTTCTCATGGAATTCACTAGATCATTGTGCAGTTTTGTTTGGTGCATTGTTTCATGATTCAGCATTTAATTTTTTTGTTTCTAACCCCGGTGAATATGTGGGTTAATTGTATGCATCTTTTGCCAACTGCCGTGATATGCTTATGATGGAGGTTATATTGATATTTTTCTGTCCATTTTTGCAGAACGCTTCCCACGAAGGACAATTTCAGCCTTGGCGTGATGAATCATGTTTGGAGATTATGCGAAAAATGTAAAAATGGAATCTTATTACTCCCTCCGGAATGAAGTATTGTCAAAATTATAGCACATGAAATGTTATGTATATGTATATGGTCTTTCATTGAGTGTATCTAGGATTTGGAAGCAATGCATTTTGAATCTGCACAGACAACAATGTTTATGTACATTTAAACTTATCACTGAATTATGACACGTTATGCTGTAGCTGAATGTTAAGCTACTTCCTCATTGTCTCTTGGAGGAAGAAAACCACATATTTGCAATTTTTTTGCTTTTTTGTATTTTTCAATTCCTTGATTTTCATTTTTTTTTTGTCTCTTTTTGATAGGATACTGAGTTCTTATATTTGTGATGATCCAATCATTGAGATCAATCCACATCAGCACAGCTTCTAGAAGCTGTAAGAATAATAGTCGGTTAGAGTATTCTTTGATTTCAAGGGATTTTCTTTTATAAAAGAAGGGGTGGGGAATGTGTAGCATTCAAAAAGTTTGTTAGAAAGTTGATAGGAGATTTACTCTCTGGATTAGGAGCAATTCTGCTTTGGTTTACCATTTCTATTTATCCACCATTGTAATTTGTAAGAGCTTCAGATTCATCATTTTCCCTTTTAATAATACACAGTTGCTTACTTAAAATTCTGGTTGCTATCATTGGTCTGACCTATTGAAGAAGAGAACCAATGAAATCAACATTGCGAATGCTACCAAATATGCTTTGGAGGTGAGAATGGTGACCCAAATATGCTTTGGAGGTGAGAATGGTGACAATGGAAGATTTACTGCGCCAAGCTTTGCAAGAATTTCGTCCGAATTTGCAAAATTACTGAACAGTTCCATTGTTGAGAGGCAATGTTCATCTTCCATTGATGAACCGTTGTTAGAATTCAAAATGGCTGTGAAGAAGGTTGAACTTCTGTTGTTTGAAGGTGAAGATCCAGTTGGATGGAACACTTGGCAAATACTTCGAAGTTCAAGGAATTTTAGAGGGATCAAGGTTCAATTGTCAAAATTAAGCATGAAAGGTACAACCATCCATTGGTTCAACCTCTTGCGCGAATAAGATGAGCTGACTTGGTTGAAATTGAACCAAGCATTAATTGAGAGATATGGAGGAAGGAAGAATGATAGTTGTTTCGAAGAATCGAAGGATTTAAAACAAGACGGAAGTGTGGATAAGTACATCATAGATTTTGAGTTCGTGTATTCACATGTGAGAAGATTTCCCGAAGAACAATATTTAGTGTGGATGAGTACATCACAGATTTTAAGTTTGTGTCTTCACATGTGAGAAGATTACCAGAAGAACAATATTTAGGATATTTGTTGGGTGGCCTGAAGACAAAGATACAATTGAAGGTGAGAACCTTTCAACCCATAACGCGTGTAGAAACGATGAAGATTGATTGTGATGTTGAAGCGTTGAAACTGCGCTGAGGTTCATTCTTGCACTGTGGTGGAGGAAGATACACAAAATCGAAGAAAGGAGGTAACAATTTGGGGCTTATTGAAATAAAAATATGTTGGGTTATCTCTCATGCCCAAATATAGGGAACAAGGGATTAGGGTGATTCAAGAATAATCAATCTGGGTTGGGTTCTGACTCGATTGCAGTCACACAGAGGTCCAACCCTACACATGGTCAAGCAACGCGTTTAAACGGCAATGAGCATTGGGGAGGCTTCGGGGATCTGAATCAGGGTAAAACGCCTCCCCGGCAGTGAATTAATGGAGCACAAGGCACGAGGGCTATGTTTTCACTGCAGAAAACGTTATTTTGGAGATCATTGCCATGGAGTTGAAGGAAGGAGATGAAGAAATTACTCCAACTTGCAATTCTTTAGGGCTCTTTGGGTTAAAAGACAAAAGCAAAGCTAAAGTATCTTTCCCAAACCTCTTACTCCTTTAAGGCATGGTAAAAGTAATGTCAATAACATTAATGGTGGAGACTGGAGCTGGTCATAACTTTATATCTCCTATATTGATAGAAATGTTGCAACTTTCGGTGGATCAGAATAAGGTAACAACTGTTAAACCTGGGAATGACACGGGTCACTACGACAGGGATGTGTAAGAGCTTAGAAGTTCAACTTCGAAACTTTCCCACCAGGCTTGAGGCATACATATTGGAGTTAGAAGGGGTTGATATGATTTTAGGGGTGGCCTGGTTGCACAAGATAGGCAAGGTGGTGTTTGATTGAGAAGAGATGGCCATTTGTTTTGATTGGAGTGGTGAACCAGTGAAGACACGTGGTCAAAATTCCAGGGGCTGGGAAATTCAGAATTTTTTTTAATGTAATGTGCAATATCGATGTTTTAAAAACCAGTTTGTTGATTGATCAAGTGAGAGTATTGTGTTACAGATCGAATCACATGATTGAATCAGACGATGGTTATATATTGGTTGCGTGTTTAACAGGGAGAGGAGCAACTAAAGATTAAAGTTAAGAAAGAGTAAAGGTTAAAAGTGTGAGAGATGCAAACATAAAATGACATTAAAACTGATTACATATGCAACACAAGTTCACAACAACATAATTTCCTTTTTACAATGCACCAATGTTCTTAAGACCAAGAACAACACCAACACCAATGATGTGTCCAACACTTCCACATGCCAAAGTATCAGCAAGGGTGAACCCAGCTGGGTCACCGGTCTGCAAGCCTGAGTCCCTTGCCTCCAACTTTAGTCCAGCAGTTGCTTTCCTGTTTGCTGACGGAGCCAATCCAAACCTTCCAGCAAACAGCATTAGGGTTGTAGATGCCACCATAATCTGCACAGCATATTAAACTCAATCATATATTAACATATCAAAAGTTTCAGAAGTTTCTGCAACTATATTACAATTGTAACTGTGTCATAAATCATAAACACTACAGACGCGACGCTGCTGCAATTTAAAACCTAATCAAGCATAAACAACATTTCTTGAAAATCATTTTGTAATAGTGAAATAATAGTGAAAAGAATAAAAACATTGGAATTGGATCTAATTCTTGAGATCTTACCACATTAGTGGATGAACCAATATAGTCACAACGAACTCCCAAAGCACCCTTTCCCCTGCGCTTTGTCATCGATTGGGAAGCAACCTGTGCATATAGAGTAGTGATGTTATTTGAACATAAAAATATAACAAAAGAATGGAAATTTTATGTAAATAAAAAGGTGGTTAATTACCAAACCCTGCACAGGAGAAGGTTTCAATTGTGGTCTAAGACCAGTGAATTGAGGGAGAGTTGTCATCATAGATGTTGCCATTTTTTCAAGCTATGAGAGCAAATGAAAAATAGTAAGAATCACTTTTTCTTGCTATGTTTGAGCTTCACACAGTTTTTCAAGGTTTATGATAATGATATTATGATGTAAGAAGTAAACAGAATCTAATATTAGCCACCAAAGTAACTTGTGGCTTCAGAATGTTGATATTAGAGATGGCCATAGATATGTTACTCCAACGTGGCATTATCTGATTCGATTTCATTTTGTGGAATTGGATAATGTCTTAGCTACTCGTTTGTTTCATTTCTGACCTGTGCATGTATTCTTTTTACTTAGATTTTTGTTTATTTTGTAGCACCATAGATACTATCAATCTAAATTTTAAGATTAATATTTTTAAATGATTTGTGAAATTAGAAAAAATTAATTAAATGTGTGTCTCTGTTTGAATCTATTTATCAAATGTATTCATAGAATTATTTACTTATATTCGTTTTTGTCTCTAACATTAACATAATGTTAAAGCTATGTTGATTTAAGAACAATGACTCTTACTTTGGTGGTAATAATAAAAAATATAAGAGAATAATTTATTTATTTATAATATTTATTACATGTATTACAGACAATAATATCACATGTGGTGCAATGGTGTGTGAAACCTGGTAGAACTCTTTGAAATCATGTTAGATGAAGTGTTTTCTTTCTAAGGACTCCATTTCCAAACCCTTTCACTACTCTTCTCCTACTTGGCTGGAGTATAAACTACTCTTTAATATAGCATTTCTCCATTAAAAAAGTGCACTAAATATTAAATTTATTTGGATTTAAATTTGTAAAATTAAATATAAATTGAAATACTAAATAAACATTTGTTAGATTTTAATGAAGCTTTTGAATAATAATTTAGCTGAAATAAAACAAAATTTTACGAGTATTAGTGTCAATCGAAGAAAGAGGAGACACGTTAGAGCAAGAACAATAATAGATTCCTAAAAATTTAGTAAATTCAAACATGACATTAACTATTAGGAAATCTTTGTAATTCAATCCAATGCCAGTATTCCCATTTTATTTCAATATCAATACAAGAAAAGAACAACTGAATCAACAAAAGAAAAAGGAGCAGATGAAAATAAGACATACATCCATATTTTAATGCTTCCAGCACCCTTCCTCTCTTCCTCATCGGTTTTCCATTTTTCAATGTTTCCTCTAGAATCAATTTACATGAATGCTAATTCCCAGACAAACAAACAATATGAAACAAACTATGTGTATAAAACAAAAACATCACAAGTTTGCTGTTAGCAAACGGCTAAAATGCAAACCAAGAGAGTTTTTACATGCTACCAGCTCGACCTGGAGATGGTTTTGGCTTCACTTTTGCCATGTTCACAAGGTCCCCAAATAACTTATCCTCTGGCTTGGACGGCTTCCCCGATGGAACATTAGAAACCTGATTAGAGTTTCGTAAATAACTATCGTCTCTTACAGACATTCCATGCATTTGCTGCTCAATGTATGGAACTCCGTGTTGTTGTTGTTGTTGACCGTAGCCATAACCTACAAACTGGTTTCCATACATCTGTTGTGGATACATGGAAACTGCAGGACCACCTTGCATTTGATGTGAAGCCATACCCATGTAGTGCCCTGCACCACCTTGCATGTGCTGAGGGTGCATGCCTAATTGATTGCTTCCAAAATGGTTATTGTTTGCTGACATATGATTGTTCACATTCGGTATATACATGCCACCAGCCTGGCCATAACCCATTGCCTGGGGCATTTGATGATTTGCAGCACCTTGTACATGTGTCATAGCCATATGACCGACTTGCGGTTGTTGAGGATACTGGGCGCCTGCTACTGGATTGCCATTGTCAGCTGGTTGAGTTTCCCACGGAGGTGGCGGCAATGATCCATTATTTTGTGCACCTATGAAACCAAAAAAAGTGACACAATGAAGTCTGAAATACAAAGGCACAAACCCTATACAGTCAAATTCTAATACATCCAACCAACAACCCACATACCACTGCAAGTAAGTGATGAAAGGTAACAACTGGCGTCTTACGATTTCATGAACAAACATAAAAAACCTTTTTTTTTTTCAAAAGAGAAGGTAATTTTGAAGAAAGTCTTCCAAATGTGAATATATTTAAATCAAACGAAGAAATAATACCATAAGGAGACGCTGGCTGCTGCTGTTCTGCAACCTGACTATTCCAGACAGGACCTGTACTTTGTGTATGCAGTGATTGTTCATACTGAGGTGAACCAACGTTTGGCACATTTCCATTGGGAATTTGACCATTCCAGGCAGGACCTGTACTTTGTGTATGCAGTGATTGCTCATACTGAGGTGAACCAGCATTCGGCACACTTCCATTGGGGTAAAATCCACCTTGAGATATGAATGTCTGCTGTTGTTGAAATTGAGGAGTAAATTGCCCAGATTGGCCAGCAACATTAGCTTGCTGGGTTGGCTGGGTATTGACAGACGTGGGTGCATTGTCTCCATTAGAAAACATATCAAAAAGAACAAGGGCGTTCTGATCAGACACAGGACTGGCAGCATGTTGTTCTCCCAGAGGAACAAGAGCAAGCGAAGTATCTGCTTTTGGTGAATCATAGGTATCACCACTGAGAAGGTCCCACTTGGGATCAACTTTGGCAGGTACAGCAGAACCACTAGATGTAGCTGGTGCAGGAAGCATTAACTGATTCAATGTTTGGGTGCCTGCTTCAGCACCAGAAGAGGACCTACACATATATGTAGGTAAATGTATATGATAAGAGCCATAGCCATCAAACTAGTTAGGTTAAGTTGAAAATATTTCTTACAACTATCTGTTACAACATATTCATACATAAAAGGACAAATGTAAGCATGCAACAGATATTTGAGTTTGGCCGACTTCATCCCTACAAAACCGACTTGTAAGACGAGGGATGTCACTCTTTATAAAGTCTTTTCAGAAACTCCAATGGTCTTGTATAACATATCTCAAGTGCAATAGGCTCTATCTTTGCAAATTATTGAAGTAAATCATAATAATGAATTCAAAGGAACAGAACAGCATCAAATTCTAAAGAAAGATAGATAAAACTCAATTTCAATCTATATGTCCATATCTGATAGATAAACTACTCTTAACATCTAGGCTACCACTCTAAAAAAAATAATATGAACAAGTTGCCTGGGCAAATATCAGTTATTACAAATAGTACACTACTTCTATATGCCAATAAACTAGCAAACAGTAATGAATCAAATAGATTCTCATGATGTGAAGCGAATAGTAACATGTCAGTCAACAAATGCAGATAATATACATGAGTAAATCAATAATGTAAAAAAAGACAGGCAAATTACCTCCCATCAGTTTGTTTGCCTGTATCTCCAGTATCAACCAATGGGGCGTCAACATCTACAAGTGGCCCAGCAGGCGCAGGTTTTGAATTCTCCAAGTGATTTCCATTTTGAGTAGAAAGTCCTGACAAAAAAGATTCATGCCTGGCAAGTACACGCTGCAGATCATCGTTGAGAGCTAGTCCCTGGCATAGCAATGATTCATCCCTGTAAAAACATGGAGAAAATACCATAATAAAATACTTCTTATATTCTTTATATAAAAACAACAACCAAGTCTTATCCCACTAAGTGCGGTCGGCTACATGGATCAACTTCCGCCATAATGTTCTATCCAGAACCAAACCTTACATTCTTAATATATAAAGATAAATTTCACTGTGTTTAGAGAGTCCAGCCTTAGATGAGGTCTGACCTGAAAATGTGTTTATAAGTGAGACAACCCTCACTTTACAAGCCAATTTTGTAGGATTGAGTTAAGCTCAACCCAAATTCTAAGATGGTATCAGTGTCTATCAAAGACCCGTCAGGCCACCTCTAGTCCTAGGCATGCGAGCAGCCGGGTTGAGATTTCCATGTCAGATGGGATATGACCTATAGAGTGTTTATAAGTGGAACACATCTCTCGCCTTACAAATTGGTTTTGTAGGATTGGATTGGACCAACCTGAATTTTAAGTCTAAGAATACAATTAACATGAATCCAGCATATACAGAATATCATATGCGGTGCTCTATCATTATAATTGATAGGACAGTAGGCCCACATTCAAATGATGAAAGAAGCCCAAAAGGGAAAACAGACCAGGTATTGGCCCAGAAAAAGGCAGGACTCTGGAATGTTTACAATAGGAGGCTTAGTTAGCATTCCTGGACATGCATATTAAAAAAGGGAAATCCAGGAATGCTTAGTTAGCATATGTGGCAAGTTGTTTGGTTTGTTGAGAGAATTGCTCACCAGAATATGATGCGTCTGTGTGTGCGCACGTGCGTGTGTTTGCATGCGTAGATGTGCGCGCGCGTGTGCGTACGTGAGTTTGCATGAGAGAGGGGGTGTATTCTTTTCGGTATTCAGGTAGACTTGGCCTAAGGAGTCGAACAACTGCTCAAGTGTTCTTGTAAGCCCTTTAAATTTTGCTAAAAATCTCAGCAATCAGAACTATCACTTACGGTTTCTTATCAGTTTCATAATATCATAGAAAGGAACATATGAAGCCTTACGTAGTTGAGTTTACAAGGTGCACCACTCTTTGCTTGTATGTTCTACACTGCTCTACCAAATCAACAACAACCTCCTGTCTAAGCCCCTGGAATAGAAAACAAAGGACATACATCAGATGTAAAGTACGAATTTATTCTTTACAACATGATAATCAATAATTTCTTGAGTTTTGAGCTTAGATGTTTAAAGGAAAGCATATTTAGACTATAAGAACAAGTTCATAAGGGATGGAAGAAATGCATTGGCATTAGTCGACACTGTAACATTGTTTACAAAGCACCAAATACTTTAGAATTCAGCAACTGCAAACTGCTTAGAGTGATAAACCTTCAAAGGATTCAAAATAAATTATCACATTGTCTGATTTAAATTTTGCGAAGAGGCTGTTAATAGATCCAAATTCATATCCTATTGTGTTACTTTTCAAGGATGGCGGCTT